TAGGAGGCACCAATGGACAACAAAGGCTAATCCAAAGAGGCAGTGAAAAAGGTAATTTGAATGTGCAAAGTACAGAAACTCAACCAATCGGATGGAAGCGTGCTCCAGCCAGAACTGTGAAAAGAGGAACATTACTTTGAACATTACCTTTGCTCTGCATTAAAAGGAAATAGAGGTTTATTTTTTTGCGTGTGTTCAAGACAAAAAAAAAAAAAAAATTAGACCTATATCGTAAAATGTATTTCTTGACGTCTATTGAGATTGATACAGGAATGTAGCTGTAGTAATTTGTGAACATTTGGCAGTTGTTCTCGTTCCTGTTTTCTAATGGTGCATGATTGTTCTCCTCAACATTGGTTATTGAGGTTCACCACTCTTTCAAAGAGTAGTTTTCCCCTCAGTGGTGATTATCTGTCCTGGTCTGGAACCCCAGGTTAATCCTCAGTGTCCTTTCTTTGGTCGTTTCTGAATGAATTTCAAGAAGTGGATTTTATGCTAAGTCCAAAACCCTATTTTCTTCCTTGCTCGTTAAGGGAATACCAGATTCAGAGAAAATTGTGATGTCAAACAGAAGGCGGGTAACAGTACAAAAAAAAAACCACTAACAGGCCCACATGACAAAACAACAAAACTTGGGTCTGTCTGCAGTCAAAACCTCAAAAAGCCTCTTGAGGGACCTTCCACCTGAAGATGGCATTGGATGAGATCTGCCGGATAAAGCTTAGAAAAAGTGTGAAAAGATGACCAGGTGGTGGCCTTGCAAATCTGGGAAATAGTTGCCTGATGACATAAACCCAAGCGGCACTCAAGGATCTAGTAGAGCACAGGTGTCAAACTGGCGGCCCTCCAGATGTTGCAAAACTACAAGTCCCATGAGGCATTGCAAGACTGACAGTTACAAGCATGATTCCCAAAGGCAGTGGCATGATAGGACTTGTAGTTTCACAACATTTGGAGGGCCGCCAGTTTGACACCCTTATAGTTGAGTATGCTTTAATGATGAAAGGTGGAACCTGATCCTAAAGACCATAAGCTTGAACAATGACCTACCCAAGAAATGGTGGAACAAAAAGCTGGTTCCCCTTTATGTGGACCATCAGGGATGACAAAAAAACATCAGTCTTTCTAATGGAAGCACTGACTTTGAGGTAACTTGCGTAACACAAACTACATCCAGACAGTGCAGAGAAATACTGTTCTGATATACTGGGGTTTATTTACTAAAGCTGGAGATTCCAAAATCAGACTCCCTTCTGCATAGAAACCAATCAGCTTCCAGGTTTCATTGCCAAAGCTTCATTGAACAAGCTGAGGTTAGAAGCTGATTGGTTTCTATGCAGAAGGGAGTCTGATTTTGGACGCTCCAGCTTTAGTAAATAAACCCCACTGGGTCTGAACACAGAGGTGGCAGGAAAAATGTCCTGACTGAGCCGAGAAGCCAAGCTACCTTAGGAATGGTGGAGGCTCTGGGTCTCAATACCATCTTATCTTGTGTAAGACTAAAAAGGGTTCTTTACAAGAACTGTGTCCCTCAATGAACTTCAAAAAACAAAGATTTTATAGTAAGTACAAACATTTTCTTCATCGCCTATTGAGGATCATGGGAAAGTACTAATTCTTAGCTATTTGGGATCCCCAAAGGCAGTACATCTGAGGACGAGGAAACAGCCACCGAGAGGTCCAACTGACTCGGAAATCTTACTGCAAGAGGTGTCTGATGGAGTCCACAACTAAATGATGGCTATATAAGAAAGAGCAAATAAAATATGAAAATTGTCACAACCTAGGAAAAGACACCAAGAATCACCCTGGAGTTGCACCAAGGCTCAACATGGAGACCAGAAGAGGTATTTACCACTAAGGGAAAACTTCTAGCTGAAAGAATGGTAAAGAAGAACCAATCATGCACCATGAGAAAAGTTTGAACAACAACTACCAAATGCTTAAGAATGATTAGAATCCTGTACCCTTTAAGGGACAACGAAGAAACTTAATTATGGTCAAGTAGTTAGGACATATTAAACAAAAATATATCACGTTTACCATTTGTAAGCAGCAGATGAAGTTCTAGTCTGCCGGTTTTACTTCTATGTTATGAGAATGCCAGCTATACTGCTCTACTGTAAACACTTAAGCCGGCCACCAACCATACATGGATCGATCTCAGTCCGTTCAGCAGGGACTGGACGAAATTCAATCCATTTATGGGCAGGCTGGTTGCACCCGTGTTGATCCATTGATCAACTTGGGTACAACCAGCCTGTCGGATTTTATACATGCAACTACTGCCAACGTCTACAGCCACTAGAAGTAATCATTGTGATCTGCCACCTGGGAAGTCTCCCTGCTGGCACAGCACAATAGATTCCCCTATCGACACTGATGGTGTTGCTGAAGGAACGGAACGACTTTCTTTCTTTCCACCCGTGGTGGAAGGAAAGAACGTTGAATCATCTATGGCTTGCCTTACAGCTGAATGATTCAGAATAAGAACACAATACCTCTTCCTAGCCTTTGTCTTCTCATACAGCCCTGTATGTAGTTTCATTGAAAAAGAAGCAGTCAACAAGTAACTGCTGCTAGGCTTTCCTATTAGAAAGTCCACTAAACCCTGCAAAACTATTATGGAAGCATCTTTTATTAAATGTTTATTTGTAAAACAGAAATTTTATACAGGTCATGGAAAAATATATCAAGGAGTAGTTTATCTAATTGTAAACTATAAGCAAAAAAGATTCCCTTTAATTATTTCATGATTATAATTTTCAGCATCCATAAAAGTGGTGCTTTGTTGCCGGTATGTTTTTGAGTTGTGAAGGACATCAGGGCACCTTCAGGAACCCCATACAAATGTGAGAACATACAAGCTAGACACAGGTGGCGAACTGAATCCACAGTTCCAACGCTGCAAGGCCACAGTACTAACCACTAAGCTTTCAAAGGAAATCGTTTGATCTATTAAAATTGTGCAATAGGTTTTGACAACTCTGATGAAAAATAAAATATTACTTTTCAGTTACAATAAATATATAAATACAAAGTGTTAAAATACATTGTTCAGTTCTCTGTCTGTGGTTAAAAAAATATAGTACCTGAAGATTTTGTTTCAAAGCCAGGGATGTGTAAATGCATGCTGTAAATGTTCTCCAATGCGTGCCTGGATTTTTGGAGTCTAGGCATTGACAACTGCCAACACAACCAACCCACGCATTGTTAAAAAAAAAAAAAAAAAAAAAAAAAAAAAAAGAAGACTCTCTCAATTAACTGAAAATATCCACATGAAATGATGGCGGGATGTGACGACCAAATACTCAAATCACCCTAACTACTACATCATGAAAGGCTGGCCAGGGCTGTCATCACCCATCTGTGTTCGTTATAACTGTAGACCATATATGCCTTTGTCAAAAGTGAAAAATCTGAGGCACGCGTTAGATGTAAGAAAAAGAGTATATCTAATAGAAGATAAATAGTGAAGAAAAAAAAAAAAAAAAAAAAAAAAAAAAAAAAAAGGACCTCAAGTTTATGTTAAATGTAAGGAAAAATGGAAAATAAAAAAAGTCCATTGTAGACAGTCTTAAAAATGAAACTCCAGGCAAACAGCCAATTACACCATTCAATACATATATGTTTATGGTTTTACCTGCCAGAGGTGATTTGTCATTTTGGGCAGCCATTCTTGCAATACCTACTTGTGATCCAGGCACCAATGCTTGGATCACTTCCAGTTTCGGACCTCCACTCCCATTCTTATTATACCTACTTGTGACCCAGGCCCTAATGCCTGGATCGAGTCTGGTTTGGGACCTCCACTGCCATTCTTGTGATACCTACTTGTGACTTGGGCACTAATGCCTGGATCAAGTCCGGTTTCAGACATCCATTTCCATTCTTGTGATACCTACTTGTGTTCTGAGCACAAATGCTGGGGTCAAGTCTGGTTTTGGACCTCCAAAGAGGTTGAGATGTACAGATTGGTATATGTCCCACTGCTGTTCATTGGACAATGAAGGAGCATCAGCACACTGGTGAAGTTATTACTATTCTCGCTTTGCTGCTATATGGATAATTAACACGCTTATATAGCTGTATTTAAAAAAAAACACATTTAAATGATTATTACTGCAATCATACCTGCAATAAAATGAGTTTTTTTTGTATCAGTCTGGAGTTCGATCTACATATATTATGTATTGCACTATATCCTCATGCATAAAATTGCTATGTATATCTATGTAGTTATATACCTTGTGTGGGAGCTAACTATAAATATGCCATAGTCTGGACCTGCATGGTGGTTGCGAGGGGTATGCAGTATATTAAAGCCCAACGGAATTCTTAGTTTACACAGCTAAATAAATGTAAAATGCATCAAATGCGCCATTAACACTCTCTACTGAGCCCAGGTCTCGTAAAAAGTGGGGGTGCTCCTTGACACGTCGAGATAAAATGGTCACAGGTCTTAGAACTTGCTCAGTTGTTATAAAGTCAATCTTTGAACAAATCATTTAGGCAACGCTAAAACCTGATACTAGGGTTTCGACCACCTACAGCTCATTATAACTGCACCCCTTGCTATTGTTTTTGATTGCTTAGTATGATCCAGTGTGCTTCCACTAGGCAGACATTTCAGGTGTTTCTTGCTTTGTAGGATTACTAGAGCATTCTAATAAAAAAATATTGTGAGGTATTTCAAAGATGCATTGTCATGCTTTAGCAATACATGTGGAAATGTTAAAAAGTCATTATTAATTATTGATTCTTGTAGAGCTCTGAAGGCCGAGAACATGTAGTTAGCAAAACTGAATCTGTCCATTGACCCTTCAGAAGACATAAGGTTTGAACACTGGCATGAAAAGGTCAACTTGCCAGCCCAAAAGAACTGAGGCTGAAAGTTGACATAACTGCATAGTTTAGGATTGATCATAGACATCAAGCCTAGTATATGAGGCTTATAGTAACTATTCTAACCTAAGGTGTCCATGTGATCTTTTTTATTTTTAGAACTTGTTCAAAAGAGCTTGGAGATACTGTGCAACCACATCAGCAGATTCCCAAGGGACTACTTTAGCTTTAAAGGATCCTTTCTGCTTTTCTTCCATTTTTCGTATCAACTTGTGCATGGGATAACTCTTTCGAGGGAAAGTGACGTCTGTGGATGTGAAGATGACGGATGGGCAGAAATCATTGGCTCCATCTCCAACGTACAACAGACTTTCAAACTTGACTCCTTCTTGAGCCCTTTCAGTGAGGTATTCAGTCAAGATCTTCCTCTTGCACATGTTTGCTGGACACTGGGGGCAAGAATGGGTGTGATATGGTCCTAGAGTCAAGTATCCACTCTTCTCCATCGTAGTAGGGTTGCTAATGACCCTCCGGAAGAGAGAATTATAGCCATTGCTTTTCAGATTGCTCTCAATCCCAAACATGTTGGCATCTGAAATTAAGATAATCTCAAATCGATCTTGGTTCTTGAGCAGGAATCTAAAGAGGGTAGGCATTCCAGGAGAAAGAGGGATCTTCTCGTACACTGCTTTGAGGTCAGTCAACTTCACACCTTTATCTCCAAGGTACTTAAACACCCTCTGCATATACTGGTTGTAAAAGCCCTCTTGGAAAGTCTCACGCAACCAGTCAGGTAGCTCTTCTTCGGGTGCCACCTGAACCACTGAGTCGTCACTGTTCTCATTGACAATGGTTTCATCAAAGTCGAAAACCAGGAGGTATTTAAGTCTAGATGCCATCTTGATGACCTACACATCAAAGAATACAAGATGTCAGCATTTGTTCAAAGAGAAACAGCATTTAAGCAGGAGTCTGGATTGGTCTTGTTTTTGACACATTAAAATAGTTACATGGCTCAGACAAATCATTCAGTTTAAGGCATGAAACAGTCATAAAAGCCTTCACTGACACTGTTCTTGTACGTTCATGTTGTGGATATGTATCAAAATAAGTTGATCAAAGTATCACTGTTTAAATATTAATCAACCATATCTCAGCTGTAAATCCATCTAAACATTGGGGCACACCAGCAGGCATTGAACCACATGGGAAGTGCTTTATTTTTACCAATATACACCTTCTTACCTTTAGTGTCATTTGACTTTTTTTTCTCTCTTTCTTCAGCACGGCCAAGCTGGAGCAGGTTATGTATCCTGGGACATCATCTCAGCCTTTCTAGACCCTCCCCTAAAGCGGTACAAAGCAGAGTGGAGCTGTCAGTTAAGGATCTGATCCGCCCACCAATGGCTTGGGGAACATCAGATCCTAGTCTAACAGCTCCAATCCCATGGTTTAGGATGGAAGGGGGGGGGGGGGGGGGCTGAAAAAGTTGAGGGACATCACAGAACATTTGACCATCTCCAGGCACCCAACTCTCCCAAAGACGAAAAAAATTCTCAAGCAATACACATCAAACTGAGCATGTGCAGAATGACTCCTAGAGCTCTGTACTATCAGCAGATGGATTGGGGACAGTAGAAAAAGGGGAGGATCAGGGAAGACAGGATCAAACATCCTTGTTACACAATGCAGAGGATTAACCCCTTAGGTTCCACAGTGAGGATAACAAGCATGCTTTACTGCACATACAGACTGATTTTACTGTTGTGGGTTTAGTAACACTAAGTATTAGTAAGATTTTAGACTTAAACACTTTAAAGCAATTCTAAAAGGTTACTTTTTTTTTTTTTTGGAAAATAACAAACATGTCTATACATGCCTTTAAGGAGGGGTGGGCTCCCTCAGGTTCACCTGCCCTTGGTCTATCCATTAAATACATGTGCCTCTACTATGGGGGCTCTCAATATTTGTAGAGTTAGGACCACAGAATATTGGGGTGCCGTGACGTGGCTCTGTGGCTTACATATGTATTTGCAAATGTGTGCTAACTAAACCCCTGTTTTCAATGCATACTGTTAGGTTAGTTCGGCTAGCTGGCTGGCAAATTGAGCTGATAACTTTCCTTTCTTTTTTTTTGACATGCGTTGCCCGTCCATGTGTTCCTTGCTGTAGAAGCCAGTTATAGACTGGGGCAGTGGCCATTTTTTGTACATGTCTATAACTTACCTACTGTATGAAGTGGTTTTGCACACAGCAGTCTGGTTCCTCGTCTTCTCGGGTCCCCCGCAGGCTCTCCTGGCCCCACCCTCCTGTCAGGTGCCCCCAGAGCAAGCAGCTTGCTATGGGGACACCCGCTGCTCTGTATGTCCATTCACACACGGAGCCGTGACTTGGCCCCGCCCTCATCTCTCTCCTCATTGGATGACTGGCTGTGATTGACAGCAGCGGGAGCCATCAGCTCAGCCAAGGAGGAGGCAGAGACCTGGAACAGCTGAGGCTGTCATGCACATTGCTGGATCGCATTGAGGCTCAGGTAAGTATTGAGGGGGCTGGGGGCAGAAGGTTTTTTACCTTCATGCATAGAATGCATGAAAGCAAAAAAAAAAAAAAACATGAACTTTTACAACCACTTTAAGTATCACTGCTTATCCCTCAATCCGTAGACTAAACGAGCATTTAACCCTTGCAGTCTAGGGGGGAGTGCAAGGGTAATTTTTCTGCTGTCCTTATTAAGGAAGAAAAAAAAAAGAAAAATGTTAAGGAAAGAAAGAAAGCAAAAAAAGGAAAAGATAGAAAGAAGGGAAAAGTGAGAAAGCATTTCTTTAATATTTAGTGAAATATGAAAAGCTCAGACTTCAGATGAGAGACAAGGACAGGTGCTGGGATGTTCCTAAATTTATAATAGTGCTCACCCTGCAGAAGGCTAAACAGGGAAACGGGAAATGTTCTGCAAGCAGGCATGTACTTTAGTGGCAGATCCAGATATCATACAAAGAGAATGCAAAAACATTAAAGGAGAACTGCATAACTATACTATATCAATATTCCATTAAATAATAGAGCAGATGTGACTATATATTGTAATCAGAGTGGTATTAGATAGTAGCCATATGGCACATTTGCAGACGTTCCTCATGAAAATGGTCAAAAACAAAGTGGCCTTTTTATGACAAGGACCAGGAATATTCCAAGCAATTTCAACCACCTTATAACAACCTTCTGACCAACTCCTTTGATGGTTTCATGGTGTTGACAGAAACCATTGGTGGTCATTTGCATTGATCTTTTTGGTAGCTGAACTTGTCTGAAAGTATCCATGTGTATAGCCTACAGAGAAACCATAGATCTTTAGACCTGGACATCTACTTGAAGGCCAGGTTCTCCAGCAGTCATACACATTTTGCATATACACCGCAAGCCTAAAACTGCAATTTCATGGTGTTGATAGAAACCATTGGTGGTCGTTTGCGTTGATATTTTTGGTAGCTGAACCTGTCTGAAAGTATCCATTCTCCTACAGAGAAATCATAGATCTTTAGACCTGGACATCTACTTGAAGGCCAGGTTCTCCAGCAGCCATACACATTTTGCATATACCCTGACAGCCTAAAACTGCAATTTCATGGTGTTGATAGAAACCATTGGTGGTCGTTTGCATTGATCTTTTTGGTAGCTGAACTTGTCTGAAAGTATCCATGTGTATGGCCTACAGAGAAACCATAGATCTTCAGACCTGGACATCTACTTGAAGGCCAGGTTCTCCAACAGCCATACACATTTTGCATATACAACGCTAGCCTAAAACTGCAATTTGTGTTTGTATGAATGATTCATAGACAGAAACTATGATTGCATTGCTGTTTCCTGCTGCAGGGTGTCTCTTCATAGGAACAATGACTGCGTAATGCTTAAACAACATCAGTTTTCTACAAGTCTTGCTACACCAGTCCTAGAGTTGTTGGGCATGCTTATCCAGTAATGGCAGTCCTGTACACTTTTTTTCACCAATGTCTGCTTTATTTCTACTCCAAGGCATTAATCTATAGGTAGAAACCATGGTTAAAGGGTTAGCCCAATCAAAACTCATACTTCTGTTTTTGTTGGATGCTAGAGAGTCAAACCATCTAATAGTTTCTTCATTCCCTAGGGGACTCTGTTGGTGAGATCCCTGTGCTCAGTTCCCTATTTTGGCCATTTTATAGAGCTCTCACTTTCCCTGCTAGATGTTTTATTTATTTGATACCATAGAGAATGTAACAGGAGATTCTGGAACATACAAAGATGGGCAGGAACACCCAGACGGCCAGAGCTGGAAATTGTACCAGACAGCTCACACTGTTGGAGTATTCAAGATATATAAGAAGTCAGGGACTGACTAAGACTTCCAGGATCCACCTTTGCCTAAAATATAACTTTTGAGGAAACTAGTTTTTTTTATTAATTATTGTATATAAAATGATTATATAGCCATCTCTGATGATTGTACAAAAAAACATTTTTTTGCCAATACTGCAATTTCAGGTCAACAACAGTTCCAAAACCATACATCAGCTCCATCAATATATTAACACCTTATCAGTTGGGCTCAATGACCAGCAGTTCTACCTTGTAATACTAGGGTCCTTGGTTTGTATCCCTTGTGTCGCCTGATCAGACTGACCCTGGTATGTGTATGCAGGTGTGATATGGACCTTAGATTCTAACACATCTACCGCAGTCCTTTTACCATATCTGCCTTTTTAAATATCCATTCAGAGCTGATAACTGTCTCCGTTTTACAAGAAAAGCCCCAGGTTTGGATATTCGTTTCTGAAGCTGTTTGCCCCTAGAAATGTCCCTGATTTTGCATGCTGATCAGTTTGATCCATGGCATAATAAAATTATTGTTTTTAGAAAATGAATTCATATTTGTCCTTGTCAATTAAGGTGTTGGGTCTTACAACACAGAATATCAATACAGAGGGCAGTTCCAATGATAAAGAAAGGGATGTATTGTCACCTTACATCTGTGTTCTTCTATATCAACCTTTCTCAACCTTTTTTAACATGGAACGCTTGAAATATCTTTCAGGTCTCAGGAAACCCCTGACAATAAATATTATATTTACAGCTCATGGTACATGAGCCTGGAGGTCAATAGGAAGAATGATTCTTACATTGCTGGTCATTGAGAAGAACATCCCTTACATTGCTGATCAATTGGAAGAATGTCCTTTAAACTTGTGGTCAATAGGAATAATGCTCCTTACATTGGTGGTCAGTGAGAAGCATGTTTTTTTACATTGGTGGTCATTGATATGAGCGTCCCTTATACTGGTGGTCTTCAAGAAGAACAATCCTTATATTGGAGGCCAGTGGGAAGAATGTCCATTACATTTGAGGTGAGTGGGGAGAATGTTCTTTAAACTGGTCATCAATGGGAAGAATGCTTCTTACATTGGTGGTCATTGGGAAGCATGTTTTATACATTGGTGGTCATTGACAAGAATGTCCCTTACATTGGTGGTATTTGGGAAGAACACTCCTTACATTGGAGGTTAGTGGGAAGAATGTCCTTTACTTTGGGGGGTCAGTGGGAAGAATGCACCTTACATTGGTGGTCAGTGGGAGGAATGTTCCTTACATTGGTGGTCAATGAGAAGAATGTCCCTTACAATGGTGATCATTGGGCACAATGTCCTTTACATTGGTGTTCAGTGGGAAGAATGCTTCTTACATTGGTGGTCATTGGAAAGCATGTTTTATACATTGGTAGTCATTGACAAGAATGTTCCTTATAGTGGTGGTTTTTGGGAAGAATGCTCCTTACATTGGAGATTAGTGGGAAGAATGTCCTTTACATTTGAGGTCAGTGAGAAGACTGTCCCTTACAATGGTGATCATTGGAACGAATGTCCCT